GTGTTTGATGCCTAGAGAGACGGGCTTGAAGGCCAGAAGATGAGTCCTTTAGGACAGCCCATGATTGAAGAATCTTGATCTAAAGCTGGAGCCATCTACACTGAAAATGCCTACAGCATCCATGTCTGTCCAACAATTCTTTCACCAGCATTAATGCCTTGGTAATGTCAGCATCTCATCAAGAGGAGTTCCAAAAAAGCCTTTGTCCATGCAAAGCACTTGCTGCGCCTGACCAGTCCATTTACAACAAAATACAAGTGAATCCCAGCACAATAAAGGTGCTGCACCAATCAGTTCATGCAGCTACTGACTCCAGAAATGTGCCTTTATCTAAAGATGGCTGGAGATTGTTATTTGGGTTTAAATTCAGGAGAACAATTTAAGCCAGAAGCTAGAAAGAGAATCATCACTCAAAAAGCTGCAAGCAGTGATTAACAAAGCAACCTCAAAATCATTCAGTAAATACAGCTACCAAGACAGAGACAAATATGGGTAGGCACAAAAAGATAGGCTGGCAGGGAAAACACCACACTGTCTTATGCCACTCAAAACTACCTTATTTTTCCTTGTTACCTGGACTCCCTCTCCTTCCTCTCAGCTCTTTGGTCTCATCCATAACTTAGCTTCAAGCTACTTACCCCAGCAAAGACCCAATGGCTTAGCAACTTTCACTGCTTCTGCCTGCAAACACAGCAGAGGAATGCCACACAACATCCAGAGAGCAGCAGGCCCACCTGCTCAGCCTGCAAAACACTCTTTTTTGCATACTGGTACCGGACTTGGCATTCAATTCAGCCACTCAGTAGGATCCGTGCTGCTGCTACTTGCAGATCTGCTCACACAGTAACCAACACAATCTGCGAGGACTTCCACATCTGCCTCCTGCACAAGCACATGAGCAATGCTGGACCTTGCTTATCCCCACAGAAAGCTGCCTAATGGCACAGAGCTAAGAGAAGCATCCATCCCCAAGCAGTAATGCAACTATGTTCCTGCAGGCATCCTCAACACAGCCTTCCTCCCATCCTTGTACTGCCTGCCTGCTGACAGGCTGCTACAGATTCCATATTCTCTTGTGTAATCCATATTAAAGAGGGCCTGAGGAAGCAGTTCATGGAAAATGCACTCAAAGGCAGCAAAAACCACACCAGAAGCTCTATAGCACAAACTCCATCTTCTCCAGAAAGACATAAGCATCATCAACGTTTGCACTAAACAACTATGAGCTAGCAGTTGTCACACAAAGAGGCCTTGACCTCCAGCAGCAGCCAGGAAAGGTATGAAGCGGAGGATCTACTGCTCTTAATACATCATTCATTGGTTCTTGATGGATCATCCAGCCTTAAGAAAAGCCCGGATATCTCTGAGTGAAGTACAGACCTCTCCATATATGTTACTACCATGCGCTCAGAAAAAATTTTGGTCTGCAGGGGAGATGCTCGAACAACACAGACAGACACACTGTCTCAGAAAACAGCCAGGGAGGCTCCTCCTTTATGTAGATGGGGAAACACTGGCAATAGAACATGCTCATGTGTTTTCCTGGAGGTGGTAAACAAGCAGGCAAAGAATTTCTGCTTCTTTACAGGTAGTGATAAGAGTTTGACAATAGTTTCTGAAGTTTGTTGTAACAGAGATCTCAAGTGTTTTTAATCTTGCATAAGTTCAGGCAAGAACAGCGATCGCACAAGCAAAAAGTCTGTCCGTTGCAGCCTGTTCAGACCTTGGGCACTGGTTTAGTTCATCTCCCACAATACGGAGCATGCTCCAGGCTCTGGAAGAAATGGCATGAGGCTACCTCTACTCAGGCAACTCTACTCTACCCAACCTCTCTCAAAAGCTCATCAATAGGATCTTCAGCCTTCCGGGATAAAAGGCAAAACCACTTCAAGCACAGCTCCACAGCCATAACAAGATGGTTCAACCCTGCTCACTGGCTGAAGTACCACCTGCTGTGCTACACAGAGCTTTGCGATGAGAAGCACTGCTGGTGTGGACCAAGACAGCACGTGCTTGTCCTACCAGTCCAGCATGTTGCTTCTTACTGGAAGCAGCACAGTCCTGAGCTCAGTCACTACCAAACATACTTGATTAGCCAGAGCTTGAGTAATATGGCCCTGTTCCTCACAGACCTGGGAGCTGGAAAATCTAAGTGGATGTGACAATGCTCTTTGCCAACAGGCTCCTGCCAAGGACAGAGCCTCAAGTTTTCAAGTACATAACATGTAGTGTTATCTCACAAAACTGGCCCATAAGCCTGGCAAAATCCCAGTGTCAGCAGTTACCCTGAGACAGATTCCTCCTTTATAATTCTGGGAACTGTGTTATTCAGGACTCCCCTTTTCTGCCTTCTCTTGCTCCCTCCTCTGGCTGCCCCAGATGTACACAACACCAGTGACGTGCGGAGAGGCACTGCAAGGTAGCAACAGCCTGAGAGTATGCATCCACTGATTTCAATAGCAGACAGCGCTTCAGGAGGCTGGTGTTCATGTTCAGCAAAACCAGCTTAATTTAACACTGAAGAGAGAACAACACAAACAGGATGCGAAGAGAGCTGGGACTGCCCTGGTGGTGACTGGAGAGGTGGCCTTGTAGGGGCTGAGGGCAGAGCAGAGACGTTAGTCGAGAAACCATTAACTGGGTGGCAGATTTATAGCAGTGGAGGTGGGGGAGGCAACCCCAGCCCAAGCTCCCATTGGCTTTGATGGACTCTTGTAGGCCAGGCCAATGAACATTCAGAAGGCTCCAGTTTCCCCAGTGCCATTCCCCACTGTGAACAGTCAGGAACAGTACTTGGGCACCTGCACCAGCCTGTGTTCCTGCTGGCTTCACTGGGAGAACATGCTCTGAGCATTCCATGTATTTATCACAGTTTGGCTTTCAGAGATTTTTAAGTCAACACAAATGATTGCAAGTCAACTTGACCCACCTTATAAGAGCAAGTAAATTGTCAAGAAGCTTCAGGACCTGCTCAGTGCAGGGATTACGGTAGACTGGACTTCCACTGGGCATGTACCCCACCAAGAATCCTCCAGCTTTTGCCTCTTCAGGAACAGTAGGCCAACGAGCTCGTTTTACAACTCCCAGAATGGTGTACACGCAAAAGCTTATCTGCAGCAAGAGATGTGGAGAGACTGTGGCTTAGCCAGAGCACAACCTGAATAAACAGGTTTTCAGAGAATTCCTGAAAATTTCAGAGAAATCCATCATCACCCCATCTCAAAAGGAAACACTCTACAGTGAGCCTAATCTGGCGACAGGAACAAACTCTGGTGCATTTGCTGCCAAGAAAATGCAGCAAATGACCATGCTATGTTCCACCATCTTCAGTGACCCTTGGCCGTGGCAGGATGGCCTAGGAACTCGCTATTAGACAAAGCATCAATGCATACAGTCTCATGAGTATGCAAGCAACCAGGTAGGTTGCCCTCTGAAAGGAAGGGTCTACACCATCAGTTCCTCATTGCCTTCGTGTGCTGGGACAGATGCAGAGATCTGTGATGACACAGTGGTCAAACTGCATTAGCCCCAAATCAAAAGCACAGCTCTGTGGGCTGCATTTCAGTGTCTTCTACAGACCTAAAGACAGCAACTCCATTTGCAGCCTGTCTGAGAAGTGAAGACATTTCACTAATAACTTGAACAACACGAATCTCCTTGTATGAATTATATTCCGTCCTGCAGTCCCAGCATGATGCTTTCCATACTGCCTGGCTCAAAAAGCACAATTCACTGCACTGTATTTCCAAAAATTGTGTAAACCAATTCCTTCTCCAAAACCAAACTCTGCTACACAAAGAGTAGGGAATAGTGTGCTTCACTGCTGAATAATCTGGTTTTGCATGGCCTACATGCTCATTTCTGTAGCTTAAAGAGGCAAAAGCCAGCCTGCTATTCTGCAATCTGAAAAACCTGCCGATCCACACTCTAAATAAGTAGATAATCAGAAGAGATCATGTGTGTAACCACAACAGAAATGGGGGATGGAAGGAGGCAAGTCCCGTCTTGCTAAAGACTACACCTCTCCTGGTAATGATACTCACTCTAGAGCGTTTCAGGCCACTAGGATCTTCCAAGACTGGATCAGCAATTTTGTTGTCTGCACCCACATAGGAGATAAAGGCTTCAGGATCTGAGAGGACTCTGGCAGCAGCAAAAGACAGCAACGAGGATTATTGTTGGTACCAGGGAATTTGAGAAGAGCTTTGCACTGGCAATAAACAACAAATACAGAGCAGGCTAGACAGACTAGCTAGTGCTCCACACTGTACGTGGGAACATGATAAAAAGCACCAGACACGTGTGCACTCTCCAAACGTCTCCAGTTCTCTTGGGCCATGGGGACCTAAAACCTTTGAATCTCTTATGAAGACAGCCCTCCTGGGAAAACTCTTGTGTATGCCCAGCTGCCCAGGGCTGCAGCTTTAGTAAGGAGAGCTCAGCTTCTTAGCTTCTCCTGGAGATGAGCACAGAAATCTTTTATTTCTCATTTTCTGCAAATGCTTTGAGCATGCTGGGAAGTGTTCCTCTATCACCTTAAACAATGCTTACCTAGCAATTTTCAACAAACAGCATTTAGGCTCAGTTGGCAGTTTCTGAACTGCAGAAGAGCTATTACCACGACTGCCCAGAGCACAGGTCACGAGGCACCCCACCACCCTCATTTGGTTTGTGCATTCCCTTATTGGGCACATTACCTCTGCAACACCTCCAGCTCAAAGCTCAGAAAAATGACCCATACCTCTGCATCTCTGGAGAGAGCCATAAGCCAGCAACAGGAGCCATGAGCTCCTCCAGAAAAGCTTTCTGCCGCTCATAGTCCTTGAACTGGTTGCTGATGAGGACGAGGGCCTCCATAAGAGCACACTTCTCCATCTGTGTCAGAAGTAGCTCATTGGAGAGCAGCTGCTTCACATGGTTGTACAACATCTCAAAGTTTGGCTGGA